TCATGTTTCACAAGTTTAATAGAATATTCTAACTATTCTGTACAAATTGAAAACACCGTATTCGGTTACAAATGTATCCTAAGTAAGGCTGAGCACTCTCCAGGCCTGGTCACAGCATGGACCAGACGTCCCCCGGCTGCCAGGGACCGTGGTCACACTCGGGAGCCCCACACACCAGCCAAGAACACGTCGCTCTGAACCCAGGGCTTTTAAGACAAGACAGATGTGGGGCTGAGTGAGAATGGAGCTACTGAGCGAGGTGACGGACATTTACACTGAGTGGAGGGCGGTGCCTCCCAGCCCCGCCCCACAGAAGATGGGCACACCCCGCGGGCTCTGCCCACAAGCCCTCCCCACAGGGCCCAGTGTGGGCTGCAGAGCCCACGGCAGGTGGCAAAAGAGTGCGCACGCGGTTCCCTCCACAGAGGCCTCGCTCCCGGAGGAGATGCCACCACCTCTGCCTGGCCCAGTCACAAACATGGGTTCGGAAACTCCGAGGACAAGTGACAGCATGCGTCCCAAGCCCTCACAGCACGCAAGAACAAATAAATACGAGGATGAACCACCCAAGCTTGGTCTCCGCATCGTGTGCACAACCCCACCCCCACCCCGAGGAAAATAAAACCAAAGCAAGAACACTGCGGAGAACGGGACCCTACTCTACAGCTTGACACGACCAGACACAGGAGGCCGAGCGGCTGGAAACACAGCGCAGGGGTCTCTTCAGACGAAAGGAGACTCAGTCCCACAGCAGGAGTGGAGCGACAGGTTCCAGACGCCCCGGAACCACATCCCAGACACCAGCCTGGGCGTCAGTGACCCTCCCGGAGCCTCCCCCCACCCCGAAGGAGGGCTGGGAAAGCCTACTGAGCCGCACCCCAGGCCGCAGAGCGCGGCGAACAAAACCTCCCGTTGAAATGCACCTAAGCTGCCACTGTACAGGGTGAGCCAGACAGTCAGGACAGAGGAAGCGTGAAATGAGATCGCGCACGTGGAGACACGCTGGACGGAAGCACGTCAGGGCGGAGACGGGGTGCAGTGTGACGAGTCCTGACAGGCGTCTGCGGACGGGGCGCTTCTCACTGCTGTTTGCACTCGGAGGGCTGGCCGGGCTCCTTCTGTCAAAGAGAGAACACAGGGCTTGTAGAGAACCGACTCAATTATTAGCCTCGTTCTAACTGAAAAAAAGGTTACTGCAAATAAGTTTTTTAAGCAGTAACAAAAGGCTAACTTCCCAGTAAAAACATCAGAGCAGGGCTGCCTTTGGTTTAAAGACACACTCGTGAGACCATCTCATTCACAGCACATTCAGGAGGAGGGTCTCAGGGACAGAGAGCCTCCTTGGGCCACAGGATCTACTGATTGCCCAGGAGAGACAGTGCTCCGAAGCTGGACGGCAGCCTCCGCGCTCTGGGCGACCTGCAGCGCTGCCCCAGGAGACGGCAGCACACTCCACAGTTCCCTGCCACCCGAGATGTGTCTTCCCGGGGGCCTGCACTCCCCGCTAATGGGAGCATGCCAGCAGAGCCATGCCCGAGGGGCCGACGCTGCAACAAATGACGGAGGCCACCACTGCCTCGCCCTGAGCCTCCCAGGAGTCTCCCAAGGGGAAGCCCGTCCTTCCAGAAGAGGTACCAGGGAGACAGCATCCCCTGGCAGAGACCCACTTCAGTGACATCTAACGATGTGTCTCACACCGACAGCCCACTGAGCACCCAATGAATGCTGCATGGGGACCAACAGCAGCCTGAGAAACAGATGACAATCCGACCTGTACGTCTGAGCAACTAAACTTCCTAATAGGTTACTAGGGTTTTTGGCTGCTAAGGTTACAGTGTGCCTATGGAGTCTAAGAAAAACCTGCACTGCAGGGTTCAAAAGAAGTGTCTGCGATAACATGACTGACACACCTTGTGTGGTGTAAGCTGGAGCTGCAGCTCATTCTTTGGGAAACCTCATTTGAGGGATGAAAAAACATGACACATAAAGGATGCATCAAGACAAAATAACCTCAAACCCTCGTCTGAGGACAAGCCGGGAGCTTCCGGGGCTGGCCCTGGGCCTCTGCCCAGCACTGCCCAGGGCCAACGGCAGGCTCCTCTGAAAGGGGGGCTCTCCCTGGCACCGGCCCATCACAGGCTCATCTGAAACACTGCCAAAGAGTTCGGGCACCAAAACAAAACACAAGTGACCAGAAATCCTAACCGAAAAAGTTTCAAATCAAACACTGTCATTTCAAGGGTGACCTGGAGGCGGCCCAGACTAGTGGCCTGGGGAATCAGACGCCGACTTCAGGCTGGCTGTTGTGAAGGCAGGAGGTGGGATAGGGGGCTCTGTGGACCCGAGGAGCACTGTGTGCTTCCACAATTGTATTTGCAGGAAGGCTGGGGGTCGTGGAAGGCATCGCTCAGGAAGTGGCACTGCAGGGTGACACGGTGAGGACAGACTGGGGCAGGTGTCCAGGGCGGGGGGCTGCCCGTGCTGCACCTTTACACTCACACTCACTCTCACACACGCTATGCGCACAGATGGTGTGTGGTAGCGTGTGCTGTGATTTGCATGAGGCTGCTTGAACCCTGTCATGTAGGGTTCTCCCCAGGAGAACATATCGTCTGCTCATGTAAAAGAAACTCAGAAACTTGGGCAATGATGACAGCTGGAGAACGAGGCCTCGCTAAAACCAGGGCCAGGAGGGGGCGAAGGGACACAGCGGTTTCTGGCCTGTGACACAGGAACAACTGTATCCTGAGCATCCTGTTTCATGACACAGAGTTCAGTGACAGCTTGGTCACTGAATGCTACTGACTAATGGAGAGAAGTGGTGCTTCAAAGGCACAGACTGATAGCCAAGACCTTGCCCGTCCGGGCACCCAAGAAGGGTTTTACCAGATGACAACTGCCCTGAGAAGGGCGAAGACGCGCCACCAAGCACAGCCTCTCAGGCACAGGCCCCCCCAGGCCTGAGGCCGCCCGGCTGGAGAAGCCTGAACCCCGCTAATGAGAAGCCGCTAACACTTCGCAGGCGCGATGGTGTTTGGTGGTTACACCAGAAAAGCCTCTCTCTCCTACAGACACAGGCTGAGTGGCTGGTGGATGATACAAAGCGCCTGGCAGGGTGGGAGGAGAGGGGCTTCGGCGGGAAGATGATAAGCGCACTGGACACCTCCGTGTCTCTCGGTGCCACCTTCCTCCCCTGCCACAGCGAGCGCCCCGAGTGAGGGCCCAATGACGGGAGCACCTGGGGCTTGCTGCTGCTACTCAGACCCACACTGGCTCCTTCCTGATTCCCTCCGCACGCTCGGCGACCCCCCACAGCACTAACCCTGCTCCGAACGGATGCCAGCAGCTCTTCAGACACAGAATCCTGGCACACGGAAAGTTCAGTCACCCCTTTATTAGCTACTGGTCTGCACTGTGCCTAAACTTTACAGGTTGAAACAGTCAACAGGTACATGTCAAGAGTCCCAGGGGCCGATTCCCACGGCCACAGTGCGCGGGGACACGGCAGCCTGTGCAGTGTGGCCTCTGGAGGCCACGTGTCCCTGCTTATGGGTGCCACCCTGCAGGCTGCCGACCTCCCAAGCCCTCGTTCTGTCCTGTTCCTCAAGGGCAGTCCCGTACTCAAGAAAAATGCCACACCAGGTACATTTTTGCTCCTTGGTCAGCAAGCAGGGGTCAAACAGTTTCTGTGGTCGTTTGTTTTTTTTTTTAAATTTATTTATCTATTTGTCTGTGGTCGTTTTTAAAAGCATCCACTAGACACCTGCACAAGTCTGCTTTTCCGGAAGCCTGGTACGGGCCTGGTGTGCCTGATGGCAGCTTCCTCTTTACCCAGTCACCACAAGGCATTGTTATAAAGCACAGATCAGAAATTTGGAAGTTAGAAATGAATGGAATTCCACCTTACCTAGAAACGTATGAATGGTTAACAGACAAAAATTACACCTAAATGGGGGAAAAATTGAAAGCAACTGTCAGCATGAAAGAAAGTGAAAGGCATAATATTATACAGAAGGAAACAGCCACAGTTTCTCATGGTACAAAAGGGCTGCAAAAAACCGACCCGGAAATCCACCCACTCCGTATCTTTCACAGAAACACCCTTTCTTATTGTCCTCTGCGTGTGCACAGACGTGACATTCCCCTTTCAAGAGGTGCATAGGAAGAACAGAAATGTCGCACCACGACCCCACACGGCTGACAGTCCTAGCACTTCACACCATCAACCCTCCTTATTTTGAGTCATCTGTCACCTACTCCCAACTAACGAAGCCGCTCGAAAATTTCATGGTTGGTATTGACAATGCTCTGTTGTGTCAAGTGATATGCGATCACGTGGTGAGTCCACTCTTCTAGAAAACAGATGTGAGACAGAAGACTTGGCAAAGAAAGAGAAGAGGACGACAGAAGGCAACAGGCACGGAGCGCCCGCCGCCAGGGAGACGAGCGAGCCGGAGACAGTGCACGGGAGCGCGCAGCGGGCACTGCCAACCGTGAGTGTGCACGTCAGCACCCTACGGGCAGAGGGCAGCCAGGTCCACACCCGGGGCTCGGGCACCAGTTTTGTCTACTAACGGACACCCGTGACCTCCCCTGCCCACCAAGTGCAAGGTCCCAGGCCTCGTGTGCCCCCCCCGGGAGGGCCCCCGAGCAGCCGTCACACAGGGCTGAGCACAGGCAGGCGCCTGCAGTCCACTCACCCCATGACGGGAGGTGAACAGCCCCGTGGGCTCACTCCCCGAGTCGAGTTTATGGGGCACACTGACAAGTTTTCACCCGCCTCCCGTCCTTGCCAGAAGGAGCTACTTGGTGAGTGTGCACTCGACACGTGGTGTTACTATGCAGGTTAGAGAACCAGGTCATCACACTGTGCTTGGTGAGCACTCCCCTGGGGGCACAATGCACAAACAATGTCTAGATAACTAGAGATCGGTACCACATGCCAGGCAATGCCAGGGCCCAGGGTCTGCCGAGTCGTCAGTTCACGCTAGCTCGCAGGAGGGAGTCCTCCCCAGAGCTCTCGGACTGACAGACACGTCCTGTGAGGAGGGTGTCAAGTGGCAAAGTATCGGGATCTGAGCTGACCTGAGACCAGGCTCACAGGTCAAGGGATGGGGGTGCCACTTGTTCTTCTCATTTATTTAAAGCAAAGCTTCCAGTTGATTTTAAATGATGAGATATCCAGGAATATCCTCAGCCCAAGTACGATTGTAAATTCCACCTACATAGAGGCCAGCCGAGTGGCTCAGTTGGTTAAGAGCTCACTCAAGAGTTTGAGCTCTGAGCAACAGCGGTTCGATTGCCGGCCCGAGCTGAGCTGCAGCTGAACTGCCACCAGGTAGCAGGATGGCTCAGCTTAAAAAAAAAAAAAAAAAGTAAATTCCACCTACAAAACCCCATTGGTCTATCCATTAAAACCAACAAACACAACAAAAAGAAGACCCCAAAAGTCCCTCTATCTTTTTCAAAAAGAAACAAAACAAAAAAGTTTATTCGTGTTGTCAGTTATCTTAAAAGAACTAAAGATCTGGACAACAAAGTTGCCCACTGAACAAGTTCATGTAAACCAGATGCAGCTTGAGAACAAGCTGTAAGAAAGGACCTTTCAGCTGGGCGTTTACACTTAACACTCAAATCATACAGGTGTCTAAATAATTCCTCATTCGAGTATTTTCCTGAAAATCTTTAAGTTTTCTAATTAGAGAACGACAAATACATATTCGTAACACCAGAGCGGGGAACCTGGTTTCAAAGCTCCACAGCACGCGCAGGTCGGACAGCCCCCTGACGACTGACCTTGGGGTTAACGTCCGCGTCGTCCTCTTCTGCTTCCTCGTCCCCTTCTAATTCCTGTATTAGAAAGAGGGAGCAGGCCTTAAACTCTTGTGGATCCACTGGCCACAAACTAAAACAACACTTCGAGTTAGAAGATCAACTATGACTACCCAAACTTGTTTAAATCACTTTCTTTGGACACATTATTATTTCTGGTCTCACAGATAACCCTGAAATAAACACAATGCTGAAAGCGTACACTGTTTGCTAAATGATTATTTTCTAAGATGCATTTTCATGAGCCAACTGCAGGGTCAAAAACTGGACACGGTCACAGCATTTGCTGTGTCTCCCCTTAGTTTTCAAGAGTCCAGTCTCAAAGGCAGCGTCACACAAAACGGGTGACACGGTGCTGTCCTTTCCTAAGCTCTGTCCACACAAGCAGAGGGAGCCTACCAGCACCTCAGGGAAACGCTTGCACACAGCTGTCTTACCTCCTCTTCTCCTTCCTCACCTTCTTCAAACTGAAAAAAAAGGAAACACGTTGTGAGGCTTCTGAAGCATGAGGGCGACCTGACCCAGACACCGTCCCTGTCAAGTGTCCCCACTGGTCATGCCCAAGGCGAGTGGGACTGGCTCCGACCCAGCCGAGGCCAGCTCTCGGGGCAGCCTGCCGCTGGGCATCTCCGGGCACCGACACTGCGGGCTGGGCCACGTGCTCATGGTCCCACTGTTAACAGGACGCCAGTGTGCACGCCCTCCGGAACCAGGCAGCAGCCATGATGGGATCGGGCCATCCCTCAATGACCATGTGCGTGCGGCCCAGCCTCTGACAGGCAGAGACCTTTCAGTGTCTCGTAGCCAGCCAGGCTCTCACAGCCTCTCAGGCCAGCTCGGAAGCAGCCGCAAACAGGCGCACTTGTGGATTCCCTAGGCTTTTAGGATTTTCACCCTGGACCTCCGCTAGGAGAGCCCAATAGGGGCCTGCGCAGGTCTGTCCCCAATGCATCTCACTCAGGAAAGCAGTGGTTCTGATGTGGGGGGTGCAGCCCTTGGGGTGGACAGGATGACCCAGGAGGGTGTGCGAGACAAACCAGAGCCCCTGCACCCATTTCATCATGTAAGAACGCCCAGGGCACATGCGCGGTTTCTGACGCATCTGACCTTTACCCCAACATTTATGGGGCACTATTCGAGGAGTCTGGCAAGTGACAAGAGCCGCATGTTACAGACGAGGAGGCTGAAGCACAGAAGTAACACGGCTACTGAGTGGCGGGGGACTTCAGGGGACACTCTGCCTCCCCCCCACCGCTCAGTGCAGGACGTGCCACAGGCGTTGAGGGCAAATCCCACATATCCCACGTGCTAACTGCTCACATGCACTGTCTACGTTGTGCGTGTTCTAAGTAAATAAATGTGCACGGGCCGCACATCCAAGTTTCCAAATTGATGGGTGTACGATCCAAAGGTACGGAGACCACTGGCCTAGAGGGGAGCATTCCACTGTGTGCCACTAGATCTTTGGTGGCTAAATAAAATGAGCATACAGTGCCTCAGCTGCCAGCAGCCTCATTCTGTATCTTCAAGCACCACAGGGGGTCAGTACGTCTGACTGGCCAGAGCTGGCAGAGGACAGTTCTGCCCTCACAAAAGTCCCACTGGACAGCGCAGGTCCAGAAGTTGTGTGCACCTGACCTTCAGTCTTAGCAACTCCCTATGTGCAAAAGTGACCCCACAGGACGTGAGCTGTGTGTGGCCATGCTCCGAGCCCCACAAGCCCTTCCCAGCCTAGGAATGGACCAACTGCACTCTGGATGTTGACCAGCCCCCGACCATGCAGCTGGCACATGCTGACCGGCCCAGCACTGCTCATGCGGGCCCTTCAGCACACGGGAGAGGTGTTTGGAGGAGCAGGCCTCACTGCCTTGGGCACGAAGCAACCCGAACCTGCCAGCCCCTGCCGCCTGGCCCCTGCCACCCTGTCTCCTGTCTGAAGCCCCAACAGGCCTCATAAGAATGGAAACTGAGGAGTCTCCGGGAGACGTAAGAGTTCTAAAAGCAAGGGAACAAACATCATCTGCAACATACTTCTACTAGCATGCTACAGAACAAAACTTCATCTCCGTAATCAAGATGTTATGATGGCAACTGCCTCAGGTGACGTCACAGGACAGCTGGTGGGCTGTGCTGGCTTCCTTCAAGCAGTTTTTCTGTGGAGCACAGCCTTCCACTTGTTTGGGGCTCATGAGCCACAGGCTGGCATGAGTTGGCTCTGCTGATGACCGCTGGTGCGGCCGGACCTCCGTGAAGGAGACCCCCTCATGTGCAGCAGTCACCGAAGCTCAGAGGCCTGCAGCGGACACAGCGAAGCCCAGGGTCGTACCCCTGAAGAGTCAGTGGGTGGGGCTTGCACAGGAGGCCGCCTCAGCACCTGCTTCCGAGTCCCCCGAACACCAGCACAGCACACCCACGGCGTGTCGGGCTGGTGATGTGACACAGGTGCAGGCCTGGGCTTTCCCAAGTCGCCGCTCACTCAAGACCTCCCTGCCCCACCACAGGCGAGCTCCCGGGGGCGCCCCCGCTACATACGTTGTCCTCGTCCTCTATGGCCTCCCCCGTGAAGTACAGCACGGCCCGTGGGACTATCCGCTCCCGGAAGAAGTGTCCAATCTCGAAGTCGGACGCTAATGTGAACTCGGAATCTTCGTCCTGAGGGAAACCCAAGTGTTAGCTCATTTCAGTGGGATAACCTTCTGTCTCACTCTCACCCGCCCCTCACCCCTCACTCCTGGTCACTTCACTGAAAGCCCCAACCGCCAGCAGTGCTGGTGACAGCCGTGAAGAGGTTAAGCAGCTTAAAGGCCACCAGGGAGGGGGCAGGGACGGGGCCCACCCCTGCGCGTGGGCACAAACCTGCCCCAGGTTTCCCAGGAGTGCAAGGGTTAGAGAGAAAGTGGGCAGCTACTCCGGAAATGAGGACTAACAGCAAAATACAAGGCTCGAAGACAACACGAATCTTACCAGTGACTCTCCATCCCCAGATGCTAGAAAAAAAGACAAAACACATCTGTGTTACGATGACACCAAAAACGTTCCAAGCCCACACAGGAAGCTCAGCCCACAGACACAGTGGAAGAGCCCACACCTCGGGGTTGTCCTCAGAAATCGCCTGGGCCATGTGCCTCTGGCTGGGTGCCCACACCCCTGCCCTGCTCCCCCCACCTCACTCCTGTGGCGGCCGAAACCAGCTTCTCACAGACCCCGCCAGATGGCGCCAGCTTTCAGAAAAGCTTTCCTACAAGTCCACAGTATTAACAGGAGGAAAGGCGTATTGAGTGGCCCAAACAGGCCGGAGTGCATGTCTCTAAGTAGAGGCTGAACTCGTGTCCTGCAAAACCACACGTGACACTTCGGCAGAGAAGGGGACAATCTAAGCTTTGGAAATGCTAAGCGTGACTGAGGCACTGCATCTCAGGGCAGTCCACACTGCGTCTCTGTCTGCCTAGGAAGGAGGAAGGAGACAAGAGGGTGCTGAGCGCTCTCCTGCAGGACGAGGCACTTCTGAGCACAGGGTGTCACTCGCCAACGCCCCACCACCGAGCCCCTCAGCTCTGCTTGACCCAAGTGGGGCTGACTCTTGGTCTCTCTCTCTCTCTCTCTCTCTCACCCACACATTTTGGTGAGCTGGAGTCCACCATGCATCTGAGCGTGACAGGAAGGGCAGGGACTTCAGCCACACTCAGCGAAACCCAGTGACATCAATGAGCCGAGGATTCCAATCCCTGAGCTCCTAAGTGCTGGCTCAAGGCCCCGGCTGTCACCAGGGGATGAACGCTGACTCTGCTGGTCTCATCGTGCCCTTCCCTGCGCCCGACTTGCTGCCTCTGTCCCCACAGCTGTGCCAGTGAGGTGGCAACGCTGCCCTCTGCGGAGCCCCGAGGGCTGGGAGGTGGGGAACACCCCCCACGGCAGGCAGCAGTCCCCCAGCCTCGGCATGGAAGCATCCTCGGGCTGCTTAAGATTCAGGTTGGGGAGCCCGGCCTGGGGTCAGGGGTCGGCCCGAGGGCCTTCCTCTCCTCACCTGGCTGCTGGGCCCGCCTTCTGCTTCCTTCATTTCGGAACATTCCATCAACACTGATGCTTCTTCTGACCACCCCATCCCCACCTCCCGCTGTCACCCTCTGCGTTTTCACAGAGCTTATCACCTGAAATTATGTTTGGTTACTTTAACAACAGCTATACTGAGCTATAATTTACATACCATAAAGTTCACCTACTGTAAGTGTACGATTCAATGATATCTGGTACATTTTGAGTTGTGCAGCCATCACAATAGTTTTAGAACCCCCAAAATTCTTGAGTCCACTTAATTCCATTTTAATTTTATCAATTACTTAAAACCCAGTTTTAAGAAAACTTCCATCAAAGCGCTTCTGTGACATGAATTCACACAGGTACCCTCGAAAATGCCATGTGAAACTCCAAAGAGGATCTTCCCAAAAAAGGAAACTGAGGGTCTCAATTTATGGCTGTTCTTATCCCCAAACCAACACACACCGGCATCTTCTAGGCTCAAAGGCAAACTGCAGAAAAGAGCCCCTAGGATAAGAGAGAGCGGCCCGAGTGGCGGGGCTGGCTTGGTGAGCGAGGGCGCCAGGCTCCGAGACCAAGGCAGAGCTCATGGTCTCAGCCTTGAGAGCAGCGTCCCGGGGCCCCGATGGACAGGCCAGCAGTGCTTTACCTCAAACTGGTTTTGTTCATGGAAAATAACGAGCCAGTGTTTTCCCTCATATCCCTATTCTAACACTGCCAACTGGTCTGACTGTCACATTCCCTCAGGATTAGAAAATTTCTTGAGACTTCCAAGTAATTTACTCTCAAAACCAGTTGCTCAGCCTTTCCGAGCTCAAAGGTTCCATCTTTATTTTATGACTTAGGGGGAAACAAAACACGACACAACAAGACTGAAGCTTCCAAACTGTGATTCTGCTCTAAGTCTTTCAAAAACGGAAATCCAACTACTTGTCACAATACAGAAATCCCTGCCGCCCTGGGCTCGCCCACATCAAGGCACGCAGAAAATGGCCTGAAGCTTATGAGTGGGGTGGGCAGGTGAGGCGGGGAAGCACTGGCCGTGGGTGCTCGGGCACCGAGGGCGCAGGTGCAGGCCCTCACTGCAGCTTTCCCAGAAGGCAGCTCGGAGTGCCCGCCTTGGCTTCCCTTCCTGCCACCCTCGTGCCTCCATGAGCACAGCTGCCTCTGGCACAGCAACCAGCCCCTGAGGTTAACAAAGTCATTTTACGTAAGGACAGGACTCCCCCGCTATCCGAAAGGAGAGCGTTCCTCTGAGACCTTTCATAAGCCAAAAGGCAAAAAGTGAAGAAGCAATTTCTATTAATTTAGATGGAAAAATCTGAGTGTTCCCAGAACCAAAAATATCCTACCAAGTAACACACGAAACCTAAAACGGACACTAACATACAGTAAAAGCAGGAACACATGATCAACACACCACGCTCTGCACACTCACCAGTCAATCACTCAAGCAATACAGGCTTCCCATTTGATCCATTACTGGATGCCGACTAGAGACCGCTGTGCTACCAGCAGAACCTATAGGAGCCTCGGTGGCTTTCAAGATTCTTGTGTGTGTGTGTGTGTGTGTGTGTGTGTGTGTGTGTGTGTGTGCGCGTGCGTGCGCGCGCAGAGAGTACAAATGGTGGACGCAGGCAAGTTACACTTATACACACAGTCACACACACACACACAGTCTTTATTCCACTCACCATGACTGAAACCCTTAACGACGTCCAGCCTTATGCTGAGCGTAAGGAACACCCTTACGAGCTCCCTTAGGTTGTTCTGATACTTTCGGGCATGTCTTGCTAAAGGATGCACAGAATAAACCGAGCTGAAGCCCAGATGCTCGCAGACAGAGCGGTGGGGCAGGTGCTGAGACGTTCAGAATGGCTCTGGGAAGGTGCTCCCTGTCATGGCTCATGCAAAACAAATGCTGAACGCTATTTTCACTTTTCGCCTTTTTTTCATAAAAACGAAAACCTAGTTTGGATTGCTTTCAGTTGGCACAAACAGGTACTATAATAAGTATTTCTTTCGTAAAAGCGAAGTGGTGTAACACAGACTTTCAGAAAGCGGGGACATTGTACAAAAGCAGTATTCACAACCGAGCCCACTCACCTTTCAGCGGATTGAAGAAGTTGAAAAACGAATCGTTGGGAACCTGTTTGGTAATTGTTCTAACAGTGCCCCGACCCTTATGTTTCTGCTTTTTCTTGATCGTTTTGACAGTAACATTTTTTCCTTTCTTCCAGTCAATAGTGCACCTATAGGGACAAGATAGCAATCATGGCTACATACCCCACGAGAAACACTGACTACAGGTATATACAGTAAGCAAACCACAGCTCCACGCTTAACGTGGACACTTTAGGAAGACCTGCCTGCAAGCAAGCACTACACACACCCATGAAGCTCACCTGAAGGTTAGTGAAAGGGAAATGGCCCACCTGCCACCACCCAGGCGGGGGCGTTGGGGGGGGGGCAGCGGCATGGTCTCAAGCTTTAGACTCGGGGACTGCAATGATGTCATCACCCCAAGGCTATGCAAGGACTCTGCAACATGTTTTCTGTGACCGACTCTGCCAAAGGCTGGGCAAAGGAGCCTCAGAGCCTGTCCAGCTGCCCTGTGCAGACCCCAGGGAGCACCTGAATTCACCCACTCACATACCTGAATTCTCAAGGCAACTGAGTGAGGTGAGCACCGCAAAATACTGATGACCAGTGCAAAACACACCGGTTCCAGGAGTGCTGAGCGGTTTGTGTGTGTCAAGCATGGCATGCTTTTTAACTATGAATCCACTTGGACCCAAAGGCAACACCTGACAGCACCTGCTCTACAACACGCCTGGAAAGCCAGGCCTCCTTCTCACACGACGGCTGGCCCAGGAAGCGGCCCTTTCTAAATTACTCTAGACATGCAACTCTAGCAGGGCTTTAATAAAGTTCTGAATTACTCACACGGGGAGATTTATAAGGACAAGTATGTACTTGGTTCTAGTGAACAAAAACAGCTGTTTCAATTCAAGGATAAAACAATTTCCCAAACCGTTTCAAACTAACCAAGAGGAATGAACTCAAACCACACTGACTCCTTGGTGACCTATAGACTGAAATGGCTAAAGTGCTCAACCATGAGTCAAAGGACGACTAAACCATCCCAATTCCCAAAGTAAGCCCCGCCCAGTACCGCCGGCCCAGTCTGACTGCTTGGCCCATCAGCACATCTTTGCTGACCGCAAAGACTACAGCGTCACTGACAGTGACTAGAGAACCCAATCCCCTCATCCAAAGGAAGAAACCGGGCCACTGTCCCAAGCCCGGGCACACGTAGCCACATGATACATTTCCCAGCGCCGACCATCATATCCCCACCCCAATCAGAAAGACTATTTAAATCTTTGTCTATTGGGCTTTTAAGCAGATTGAAGACTTTTGGTTTATTCCTAATTTCAATCTTACTTGTAAACTTGTAAAATCATCTCCTGGTTTTGTTTAAAAAAAAAACAGTTAGAATGGCATTTCCTTACCCGTCACAGTCAACTATTTCAGGGCCTTCGAAGGAAAAGGGGTCAGCCTTATCTGGCTCCGACTTCATCTTGTATGTTTTTGTCAGGACCGTGTTAGTAAAGTACTCATTGGGTTCAAAGTGGAACTCTAATATAAAAGACTGAAAACAGAAAGTCAGGGTGAGCACCATCTAAAATCCACCAACACCAGCGACAGGCTTTATCAGCCTCCAGGGGGCGCTACAGCAGAGCCTCTGCAGGGGGAAGGCACTGGGATAACCCTGGTGCTGTAGGAAAACAGGGGTTCCCTCCACTACCAGAGCGGCCCCTCAGCCTGTGAGCAGGCCTCGCTCCGGCTCATGCTCGCACCCCCACCTGCAGAGGGCTAGCTGAATGGCACCTCCAAGAGTGAAGCGGACTGGAAAGGGGAAGGGACAGATGAGGTGTGCCCCGCTGCCCCAGCCTCTAGCGAGCGTCCCCTGCAGGACCAGGAAGAGAAACGCCATTCCTCATCCTCTGCGGTGGGGACGGAGAAGTGACTGAACCCACAGCCCCTCAGGCGCTTTGTCTCCAAAACCTGAAACTGACAGCCACCGCCAGTCAGTCAGTCATGTGTTGTTGGAGTTGCTGTGGCACTGGAATGGAACCCGTTAGCCACAGCCAGGTGAACAGGTCACGAACAGTGCTCCTGTGAGGGCCCAGCTCAGGGAGGACGGCACGCACCACCCCGTGTTCTTCAGGGAACAGGGAGGGCGGCTGGGGCCCCGCTCCTCCTCTAAACTGGCAGGCAGCCCCACCCCAGAGCACTAAGACACACGAGAGCAAGTATTCTGAAAAGATGGCTGTGGGATGAACCAAAGATCAGGGAGGCGTTTTCGGTCTTACCCATTCGTAGTTACGTTTTAGATCAGAAACCTGGTAGCTCCTTCCACCAGGACCTTGGGTTTCCGTTCAGGTACCGCTCATACTGGAGCACATACCTACTGTCCTAACCCTGTTTTCCATACACCCGACACTCATACACCTGGGAGACCCTCAGGACAAGGGTGACGTCACCCCGTGTGACAGGAAACCAGCTGGCTCAGAAACCACAGCAGGGTACACTGGACACCACATGGGGCCAGGAGCCAATCCCGTGTCTGACTCCTGCACCTGCCACCATGCAGGCTCGTGGCGTGGCCCAAGTTACCTGCCAGGCTGTGCACACTGCTGGGCGAGGCCCAGAAAGACCCTGTGACAGCCCCCTGGACCCCAGGGACTGTCTGGCTCAAGTCACCCCACACGGGAGTGGCAGCAGGCTTGGATTTCTTGCCCGGGATCCAAGCCCTTTAGCCTCAGTGGCCTGACCCCCTCTGACGCCAACCAGGAGCTCGAGCGGTCAGTCCTCACCATAGGCTGTCCAGGTTCTGAAAATATGACTTTGATATCCTGCAGGTGTTTCAAGATTGGCTCATCATATTCCTAAACAAAGAGAAAAAAGAAATTTCTAGTGAGCTTCGGAAAAACAACAGGTCCTCATGTTGTTTTTCAAAACAACATGGCTGTTGCACACACTCCTAGATGCTGGATAACGAACCCTGATGGAATTCTGCCCTTGTCAAGCCGCCATCTTTCTGGGGCATGGAGCACTGGTAACCAATGCCTGGCACGAAGGCAGCGCCTCCAACGCCAGGGGCAGGAGCCCTGAGTGCTCTCACACCACCACCAGCTACCACTGTGTACGGGGGTCAGAAGTGCCGTCCCCGAAGACAGCGGTGCTCAGCATCTCTGAAGAGACAGAATTACAAGAAGCGCCTAAATCAGCTACTGATCTTGGTGGTCAATTTCCCCCACTCATGGCGTGTGGCAATAAACATCCAAAGCTCTCCCTCACCCACGCACAGTCACTCAGAGCCAAAAACACTCTCTCAAGGCATGTCTGAGACCTAACGTGCAGGCATTATATATGTAAGAGCTTCTAACAATGGCTACGTGCTTTTACAAGTGACCATTATTCAAGCGCAGAAGTTCACCAATGCATCATCTGAGAAAGTCCAAGTGAGAGAAAACCGGAAATGGAATGACAAGACTTGAAACCCAGTGACCACATACTAACGAGAGGTGCTTCATTTGTGAAACAGTCACTCCTTTACCCCACAAAGTCTGGAGAATGAACTTAAGGATTTCTTGAGGTTCCACTAAGATCTAAGAATTCAGTCTGATAACAACGAACTTTGCAATTTCAAATTCTTCTGATATTATAGAAAATAAAAACAGCAACAACGGAACACGGCAAGTCTCTAGACAAAAGTAACCTCAAAACAGTTTCTAACGGGCCACATCAGTCTAGTCTGAGATGTCACAGCTTAAATGCTAGCACATGCAACTCTAAGGCTGCACGTGTCACTGACCTGGCACCATGTCTAGTCCTCAGTTGCTGAGATGAATTTTCTCACTAGGATGTTTGCCAAGTACAGGGTACTGGGACATGCAAACTCATCCCCTCAAACCAGTAGTTGCCCACTGGTATCCCCCAAATTCACGAAATAACCACCGTGTTCTTAACGTCCCCACCATGGCCCAGTGCCCTACATCAGCCGACTCTCAAAACTAGGGAGAGCCCCACCACAGGACCGAGATCTAAAGCCACCGTCCCCACACGGGACTGAAGGGCCCAGCGTCTAGCCTGTCTTCAGGACGTACCATCTGACCAGAGTGGAATCTACGACCATTACCGCTATCAGGTCACAAACAGGGCAAACGATATTCCGCTGCTCCACATACTGAATGCCTACTCTAGAAATGCCAACCTGGCTTTTTACAGCTTTGTGACAAAAAGCAGCAAGACACCTGTAGCTTCAGAACTAAAGCACGGCCACTAATGAGAGGTGCTGGGGAGAATGACAGAGACACCTCACTGGAGTGCAGCTAACTGTGCCATCAGCCTCACAAACCAAGGACATGCTGTGGGTGAGGCAGCAACGGCCACCCCTGCATTACTAACTAGCTGGCCGCACAGCACCAGGAGCCAGGCTGCCCAGGCCAGTCACCTACTGACCCCACCACTACCTGCCACCACACACAGCGTCCCCAACCAGCAGCATGGGCCTGGCCTGGGGGCAGAGCTGGCCCTCCCACCCACACCCGCTGCACCAGAACCTGCAGGCCCCTGGGATGGGTGTCCCCACGGCAGGGTCAGAAAGCCTAACCTGTGGGTCTGCCCACCTGCTCTGCCGGCCAGGGCACTTCTAAGGCTGGGGGCTCATCACAAACACCTCAAACTCTCACTGACGGGGGG